TTAGACCTAACCTTTACGGGCGTAAGTTCACCATATATACCGACCATAGACCCCTAGTTTGGCTTTACTCACTTAAAGAACCGAACAGTAAACTGACCCGTTGGCGTTTACGTCTTCAAGAGTACGACTTCGATATTGTATACAAAAACGGAAAACAAAATAGTAATGCTGATGCCCTCTCTCAGATAAAACTAAATGTCATAGACTCTGATGACTCACAATCATTGGAAGTAAACCTGGACCCTAAAGAACAAAAACTGCAAAAATATCTGACAGAATTAACTGACCAAATTGTAGACTTAACGACTGAAAACAGGGACGACTCTAGGACAATAACTATAACTGACACATCCGCCACTGTATCCGTCGACCAGTTAGAGACTAACACGAAATACCCGTTACCACCTATATCCTCTGATAGTAGTATAGTAACTGTGCATTCTGGACAAGATCTAGAATCTAATGGTATTCCGATATTAAAGGAGGCCATTGACTCAAAACCAAACCAAATTTTAGTTTATACCTGGCATAAAAATGAAGTACACGTAAGAAATTTATCCAGGGATAAACAAAAGGTTCTCGAAGTTTTTGCCCCACTTAAGAATGAAGATCTTATTAAAAATTTCTTAAAAGAGTACATTAAGCCCAAGACTAAATATTTTATTTATTTCGAAAACATTCAACATAGAAAAGAATTCTCTAAAATTATTATACAGCTATTTAAAAAGGGAATGGTAGAATTTATTGAATGTACAGAGCGTGTTATATATGTAGAAGACGAGAAAGAACAAAAAGAAATCATACTGCAACATCATGAGGGAAAGACGTGTCACAGAGGAATAAAGGAAACAATGAGTAGAATTAAAAGAAATTATTATTGGCAGAACATGCAAGAGACGATTGCTGCAGTACTTAATGTTTGTGATGCCTGTAGAAAAATGAAATATGAAAGAAAACCCATTAAACCATTACTTCAATTAACTCAAACCCAAAACGCCCCCTTCCAAGAAGTTTTCATGGACCTTTTTTCAATTGAATCCGTTTATTACCTAACTTTGGTTGACGCATTTAGTAAATTAGGACAAGCTATCGAAATCCCAAATAGATCCGCACCGGAAATCGTAAGAGCGCTTATTAAATATTTTTCAATATACGGAACACCTAAAAAAATAACTTCTAATCCCGGTAGTGAGTTTAATAATGATCTCATTAAGGAACTTATGACTATGTATAACATACTACTACACATTACCACTCCTAATAACCCGAATTCAACAGGCATAATAGAGAGATTCCACTCCACAATTATAGAGATATACAGATTGGCGAAATACGAACGAAAGTGTACAGATGCAGCTACTGTAATGAGTTACTCAATTATGGCTTATAACCACACCATACATAGTACAACCGGCCTTACTCCTTTCGAAATCGTTTTCGGTCATACCGACTCTAATTCAACGTTCACCGCGAATTTCGAGAAATGTTACACCCAACAACTATTAAAAGATCATGCTAAACGTATTAGATATCTATATAATTACATATCAGATAAAATCTTAGAGAAAAAGGAAAAGGTAAGGGAACAAAAGGGCGGTGAAACAGATAGAAATTTTAGAATAGGAGATGTTATATACGCCAAGGAATCTAACATAAGAAGAAGTAAAGACAAACCGCGATATAGGAAAGCTGTCGTTAGTGGTAATATAGAAAGAAATATAGTTCCTGTTAGGATTGGTAATAGAAATACTTCAGTGCCAATTAAAAATATTAAACGTCCTCCACAGGTGGTGTATAATAATTCTGACGATGGTTCAGAAAGGATGGGCCCTTCAACTTCGAAAACTTGAAAAAAACCCAGGAATCCTGCCTGTCAAACTGGGTCGTGCTTCATTGCAAATAGACAATTGGCTTATTATTAAAACTTTAAAACTTAGAAGGTATAGGTAGTGATTTAGATTTTAGTATATTAAAGTATGACGAATTCGTTGCGTTGATAGATGTTAATAAACCATATATTCATGAATTTTTAGCTATTCGAACACATGTAGGGTATTTAAGAGATGCAACTATAGAAAAATTTCGGCAACTTGTGCCATCGAAAAGATTTAAAAGAGGCATTATTGACCCGCTTGGGTCTATGATAAAAATAGTAACTTGAAATTTGGATCATGATGATGCCGTCCGATATGACTCATTGATTTCTAAACTAAACGATAATCAGATAATGTCGGATAAGAGAATTACATTAGTCTCCAAAATCTTGGATAATTTCATCAACAGTACAGAGACCTTACATAACAATACTCTAATATTAGATGAACGCTTGAAGAGAATTGAAAGAATTGTTAAATTCCTAATTACAAAAGAAGAAAACTCCATTTATTCTACCTATGTCCTAGGTATGTTTGACATGTTTTTGAGTTATTTTAGAACTATTAACGTAATACTAGGAGAAATCGAAACTGCACTAGCATTCAGTAAGGTATCTGTTCTGCATCAAGCTATTTTCAACTCTACGGAATTGTTAAATTTATTACAATCAATCGCGATAACTGAAAATCTATTATATCCTGTAAATGAAAATAACTTAGTTAAACTAGAAAATTGTATTAAGGTTAAGGCTTTTATAAAAGGAAACCAGATCACGTTTATCTTAGAGGTCCCTTTAGTAGGGAATAAAACATATAGTTACTTCAAAATGTATTCATTGCCAATTGCTATTGCAAACAAAACTATTATAGTTATTCCCAAATACCCATACCTATTGGTGAAAGAAAAGGAATACTTGCCAGTCCCGAGAGCCTGCAAACAAATTGCTTTGGATAATCAATTCCTGTGCAATACCGACGATGTGCTGCTGCATACAGAACAAAGCTGCGTGGAACAGCTCATGGAGTTTCAATCAAACCTCGATGCCTGTGAACAGCATACTGTTGACATTGAAGATCCCAAAATTCAACGAATAAGCCACGAAAGCTGGATACTGTACGTGAGAAATCATAGAATACTTACCAGAAAGTGCGACAATGACGTCACTCATGAACTTTTATGTGGTACTTACATAATCACCGTAGACGATTTCTGTGAAGCCGAAATTGGAAATATTCATTTTAAATACCACCAATCTTCTTCAGATGACCTAAATTACCGAATTTACCCAATGACTAACTTGCCAGAACTGAAGATTTCGAAGCCTCCCATTGTCAGTGAAGTGAGTTTAAAAGGTATAAATCTAGACGAAACTAAACAATTACTTCAACTAGTAAAACTTAGCAAAATAAATCTCATTGAAAATGCAAGTGCTATTAATGTTAAAAGTGTGAGTTTAGGAACGATAATTTTGTATGTAATTCTACCAATTATTTTCTGTATTTTTATTATAATTAGACATAAACTGTGTGTAATTAAGCGAAATCATCGGATTCCTGAAAATGCCGATAATTTCGCTCTTGAGGAGGGAAGAGTCATGGATTCGACCCCACACAGAGTGATACAAGTACGTGCATAAATACTATTGCTGACTTTGCACCCAGTGTGTGGCCTATATCGTGTCACTTGAGTAAGCAAATGTAATAGAGTCTGCATGAAAGATGTATTAGAATAAGTTTGCCATTGTTGAAGTACATGAGCTTCTGTACGGACATCTCTTAGTTTTATTTTAGTTTTTAAAAACGCCTCCACCGCTCCCGTTAACTTGACTAGTTACCCACTAAAAACAAGTATCCTTCCGTTTGTAACTTATGTTTTAATGTCAACTAAACTTAATTAGGTCTAAACAAGTAAAAAAAGCATAAAAAAGAACATTACTTTTACATTTTATATGGTCATAAATTTCCATCAAACTAGCTTCAAACACGTAACGTTTGATCAAACCTGTCAAACGAATGGCGTAAACGATCAAATTGGTTTGACTCAAACCAAAATCTACGTGTTTAAATCAAACCGCTTGACCGTCTCGGGGGCCCTTTAGTGTTCACGGCTGACAACGCATCTGCATTTTGATTCGCAAACGAGGATGTAGATGTCTATGGGCCACAGAAACCACTTATCATCAGGTCAGGGCATAGAATCTTAGTACATAAATGCTTGAAAAATGCAATTATTATTATACTAAATTTAGATGAACCAAAAGAACATTTAAAGTCTATCAAACGTATAGTTTTTAGATTTTGTCGTATTATAATGTACTAGATCCATCTGTTGGCACGAGATGTCGCCTCTATTGATGTAAGAAGATAAAATTAATGTGAAGAAGGTCAAACTATGTGGTTATAAGATTCAACAACCTATTTGATAACATTTTTAAAATGGTCGCATTGAGTTGAGTGCAAATTCCTCCAATCTGATCTGACATACAGATTACAGACATAATTATTGCGTTTTTGAGACAAAGATCAAAGATTCTTATCAATTATAAAAAGTACTCTGTGCATCAGGTGGACTGTGTGCTCGCTTGTCACACTTATCCTGTAAAAAAAATGTATCTTGCTATATTTTTTTTACATCTATACAAATAAATAGCTTGAAGTGTCTGTTTGTAATATCAAAATTACAGCTTTTTACTAAATACAAAAATACAATTTTAAAAATTTTTGTTTGTCTGTCTCTTTGTACTGGCTAATCTCCGAAACAGCTAGACCGATTTTTACACGACTTTCACTGGCAGATAGCTGATGTCATAAGGAGTAACTCAAGCTACTTATATTTTATAAAAAGAATTAGGGTTCTTCGCAAAAAATTAAAGCCCTAAATTACAGGCGGGCGAAGTCGCGGGGAACAGCTAGTTTGAGCATAATTCCGTTGGCATGGTAGATCCATCTCAGCTGCTGCGTCCTGAGAAGGTACACGATTTCACATCTGTAAATCGCGTAAAATTGTAGGATCTAGAATGCTTCATACATCTTCAATGTTGCATTATGTGCAAATTTTTGTTATTCCCGTGCGGTCTTAAAACTAGTAAAAAAAAAAATGTTATTTAATAAAAAAAATATATTCATTTATTCTAAAGCAGTTAAGACATTTTTATCACCATTCGCCTTGTATTTAAACAACTTCTCCTTTCTTCTAGACTTCCAACACTTTGTTTCCTCTTTTGATAGAACATACTCACCACTAACTACCACTGATTTGATTTTAGCTAAAAAAAAATATTTCTATTTAAATTTTAAGTAATTATGCAATCTTGTCAATTTTTCAATCAAATTTTCTTGTGTTAGAGCCATGCTGCAGCGCGATTGGGTTGGCTCGACAGGGGTAGGTTCACTCCTCTCACAGAATACTAGAGTGAAACAGCAGAATAATGCTGCATTTTGTAAAATGAGTGTAGAGAAGCAGAAACAATTTAATGATAATGAAGCTTTCCATTTTAGTCCTCAGGGGTGATTTTGCATCTGCACTGACTTGATTCTTAATCCAGGATAATGTAGATTGTAGTTGTCTATGGGCCTCAACATCCACTTACTATCAGGTGGGTTGCGTGCATCTTATCACTCTAATTCAATGAAAAAAAAATCTTCCTCTTTAACAGCTTGTAACCGTAATATCTGGACATAAGCCTCTTGTAGGAAGGATCACTATGCTTACCAGATAAATTGTTAATCGTAACACCTAACATCTAGCAACTTAAATACCGCTTCCTGTCACATACATCCCTATTCTGAGTAATGTATGTCTGGTATTAAACATGGTGGTTATATCACCATCTATCAGAGCCATGGTCTATGGGGCTTTAACCATAGTCGCTCTTTAAGAGCAACTGCAGGACTATTTAATTTTTATCACAGACTAGCAATCTGCTGTGGCTTCACAGGGGTGATTTCTGGTAAACCAGTTTTTCTTATCATCATCATCATTACAGCCCTTCACAAACTTTATACAAAGCACAAATCTGAATATGCATGGAGTATTGTAGTCACGTTAGGGATGGCTCAGCAAAATATCAACTTTTCGCACTCGACTCAGTGGTACGCAGAGTCAAGAAGCTTATTGGTGACAAAAAGTTAGTAGAAACTAAGATTCACAGCTTAGCTCACCACTGTCAATTTGCTTATTTGTCTGTCTTCTACAGATTGTATTCAGAGAGTGTGCCTATGAGCTTCATAAGCTCGATCTCCATTCTCCTATTGGAGTACCAGATGTACTGCAGGTTACCATCTGCACATAATTGACATTCCAAATATTTGCATTAAGCGCTGTAAGTCATCTTTTATAATGCGCACAGCCGAGGAGTGGAATGCCCTGCTGGCGTTTGTTTTTCCAAGTGCATATAACCTGAACCTCTTCAAGGTGCATATGAACAAGCTTCTCTTGGGCAAACTCGCTCCATCGTAGACTTCTTCTTTGCCCTCTTACCAGATGGAGGTCAAAAGTGAGCCCATGTTTAATTTAAAAAAAAAACAAGATGGTTATACCTCCATATGTTGGAAACCATGAGATCTTTCTGGTGTATCCCATAGTCACCTTTCACGCCAATTACAATATGTAATGGGATAATGGATTTTCTTACTCTATCATCACACAGCCTACAGCAATAAAGTCGATGTCTGTCTGAACACACGTCACGCTAAAACCTGTGAACCGATTTGGATGGGACTTCCACTGGCAGATGGCTGATGTTATAAGGAGTAACTTATGCTACTATTATTTTAGCAAAACAATAAGGGTACCATGCAAAAAAAATTAAAACTCATGAAATCCAATCACAATAAATTCCAAGCAGGCGAAGTCACGGGGAACAGCTAGTCTAAATATGTGATAAGAATATAATTAGCAATGAGACTGGAATGCTGGCTTAGTGTGAACATAAACTTTATATTAGATTACTGATTTAACAAAACAACATTGAAATAATTAATGTGCCGTCTAATAAAACCTATGGCTGACAACATACCATTTCAACACTAAATGTGTTGAATTTAAATAAAAATTTAAACATTTTATCAAGCAATTCATTCTCACCGTGTTCATCAACTCCCTCAACATTGCTATCTATTTGCCTTCTTTTTTGTTGCAATTTTCTTGAAAAATTATTGTGACATTCTGTATACGTATCTTTTGCATCTTCACAAGAGAGAAATCCAGCAGAATCTCTGAACAACTTTACTCCACCTTCAATAGTTGGTTTGCTAAAAATTTATTCCAGTATAAGTATAGATTATTATTAACTTACACCTTTCATTACTGTAAACAAATTTCATACTTCATTACTTCGTCTTGCACATTAACAAATTTAAAATTTCTGTTTATAATTTCAGAAACTTTTGCTCCTATTTTCTTTTGTAAGTGTTTAGATACTTTAACATCATTGTAATGGGTTGCTTCCTCTAAGTATCTCTGAGAGCACAACTTGGAATCTAAAAATATAATATGTTTAACTAAATACTATATGTGTATATCATTATTTACCAATACCCTTACGTTAACATAGTTGCCAGAATTGGCAGTTATTTATTTTTAGTTGTTAATAGGAAGGCTGTAGTTCATCTCCAGGTTTGTTTCCCTCTGTCACCTCTTCACCCATGGGACAATAGGGTAGTGGATATTTTACACTGCCTCTACATGTTTATTATTTTAATAAATTCTTTTATTTTTTGTTAACTAGCAGTAATGTTTGTTTACATAATAACTTTTTTATAAAAGAATAAATACCACACATGCAGAAATTTCAATCTCTTTTGTTATTTAAGATTAGAATTTCTACTACCTGCTAATTAATTGTAGGTAATAGAAATACTTGTTTCCATGCAAGCTTTGAATTCTCAATTCACAGTGACAACTGCAACGTTGAGCAGTTTAATTATGATATATATTTATTTGGTTAAAGCATGTCAAATGCAAGCACAACCTGCAGTAGCGGTCTCAGTCACAGTCTTATCTATAATATATTGGTTGCAAGTAGTGTACAACATGCATTGCATTCACAGAGGTGACTTATAACACTATTTCTACCACCACCTTGGAGAGGTGGAAGCATTACTTTTGTAAGTGCTTTGTGAAAATGATAAGAAAGTAAATCAGTTTATATTAGGCTATTTTGAAGTTTAATTTTAAGTACATACTTTGTAAATACAGTTTTGTTATATTTTACAGACAAATACAAATAAACTATAGATTCATGATATCAACTTAGAAATTGAAGAATGCGGCGAATTTGTATCCCTTTTTTTATTATGCATCCATTTTTTAGTTTAGGAAAAATGCAATGGATGTATGTTGTGACAAATTACAACTGGCAGTTTCTTGGACGCCAACGCCACCGCGCTTGTATACAGATAGACGTGGTAAGAACCCTTTTTTAGGTAAGTGGTAATTACGGTGGAGGTAAGCCACAAACAGAATACAGACTGCGTTATACCCGCGAATGTTTGATTCCCTTCACTTCTACGAGCTAACACAACGGATAACCACCGCTACCGCTAAGGCAGCCACGGTTATTCGTGAAACGGTTTAAAGATGATTAAAATATACCGGATTTTTCAGTTATTGGAACTTTATTAACAGCTTCCGCGTTTATCAATTTGACAAATGTTGTATCCACAGCCTCTTGAAATCGTGATAGATCTTCCTCTTCGGAAGAATCCGACATATCTATGATACGTAGTAATTATAATTATGTAACCTAGTTTGGCAAAAAAAAAAACAATTTTAATTTTAAAATAAAATGGATTGTAGAATGTATAAATAAATAATAAAAATATTTTTGACAATGAAACGGACGGATCGCTTGACAACTTCACATTTGGCAACCATAAATTAGGATGACGTAGTATTTGCTGCGCCGATTGTGGCCGTAGATAGAGCATTGATACTAAGATACTATGTCTATGATTGTGGCGGTATCTAGTTAGAGCGCGCGATGACTTATCATTAATCTATGGTTACTTTATTATATATGTCGGAAATTACAACAGGAGATCCCACTTCTGATATCGGATACAACAGACGATCCCAATTTTGCTCTTGGAAATACATTAGGATAGCGTTAATTGTTAAAAATAATAAAAGTGTGAGAGCGGATGTTCAACTTGCCCTCTTGCTTACGTAGTTTAATCATTATCAGTAATAAGAGAACGTAACGCACTATACATTCAGTATAGTGAAATTACAGTTCGGCCACACCGTAACACGTCTCCGCCACAATCACATACCAGTGTAACGTGAGGTACGTAATTACATGATAACACCAAAATATGTACAGCAAAAGCAACACTACTTATCTCAATGTAACACAGGGCAGCCTCTCAGCAACCAATCCTCCTTGACTGCACTAGAGGAATTACAACAACGAACAGAACCACGACACTATCTTAGCACTAGTAGAATGACCACACTCGTTGAATGACTTAAGCGGACTCTCTCCCGCACTGCACCTACAGTGAATTTTATACTGCAAAAACAAGTGGGAGTTTCTCGATACACCCTCATGTCCACCTCGATCCAAGTGATATTTTATAGACGCTCCGACACGGTCATCCTGAAGTACGACCGTCCTCGGGCGTGTATCTTTATGCATTCCTGTAACAAACACCAATTCGTCCGCTCGTCCATCCTGACATGAGTGGCTACATATTATTAGTTCGCAAAACTAATTGTTAGATGGCGCTGCTTGTTGTACTATGGTGCCATCAATTCACGACACGGCCATTCCTGACTAACATCCGTCCTCGGTTGCAGTGCCTGGAGACAAAATATGCTCAGAGATTAATCTAGCTCGGCTATTCTGCCAATAGAAACAAGGTCGATTCCAAATGATACTTTACTTCTCTTAAGTCTAAGTACAATAGTTAACTGTCATAATTGACAATGCCTTGTCATTAAGGCTTCGTACGCAGTGCTTCCTGCACAACATGATTTATTGTGAAAGGTCCGATCAACAAGTTCCAACACAGTAATTTTAATAATTTTGTTACTCTTTACAATTCATAAGCAATGCATATTCAACTCGTGAAACTTTCATTGAAATCTGTGCACCAACACAGACCAGAATCGTACCAACGATTCTTTACAATCTGCCGTCACATATGTCAGAATCGCACTAACGATTCTCCACATATTTACAGCCACATATGCTACAACACATGAGGGGCTCTGTGCACCAACACAGACTAGAATCGCACCAACGATTCTCTACATATCTGCCGCCAAATATGCTACAATCCATTAGGGGCTCAGTGCATCGACACAGACAGAAATCGCAGCAACGATTCCTTACAGACCCATCGCCACATGTTACTCATGAGGTGCGGTCTAAACTTTTGAGTATGAGTATACAAGCCATTCTTAATCAAATTTGGTCTCACTACCACTGTCCTCAACTATGACATCTAACTCTCAAGGAATTTGGTGATCGGGGATCTTCCTCACGTGATCATGGGGGTATTTGTTACTTTGCACACTAAACATTGACCGATTCCGGTTAAAATTACAATATTATTCACTCTTTTGCCATTAAACTTTGGCACAACACAATCTTTGATGAGAGGGAATTCGGCCCAGAATCATAATAAAATGGGTACGACTCACCAGTATTCATCAGCTCACCACTGAGATTGCTCACACAGCAAACGTCAACAGTCGCTCACTGCTCGGCTCTGCGGCAGGCATAAGGCAAGCGCACGTGGCTATTAAAACAAACCAGCACACGCCATAGTTATCTGCCATGAAACAAGGTCACATGGCCAAAACAACAGCACTGGGCGTACCGCACTCGCACACTGATTCGTTGCGCCGCTCTCAAACAGAAATACGCTCTCATACCGTGGACTAATTTCGCTTTGACTAGTAAGAATACATCTCCATACGAAGTATCTCACACATACTCGTACTTGAACTTGCGAGATCCAACGTTAACCACGTGAACCACGCAGCGTGAAACAGGACAGCGCCTGCCAGGACAGAGCCTGATGCATGTTCAGAGAACAAGACTTCCGTGCACTCAGAGGGTATGACATCCACGCATACAGAGTACACAACTTCAGCGCACACATAGTGTAAGACTTCCGAGGCACCGCCATGCTACAGCTGGACCCGGCAGTCCGTTCCGACTAGCAAGGCACACCCTTGTCTCACGCTCGCGCTCATGTAATTACATAACAGGTACTACTGTAACACATAAAAGAAAACATTTAAAGATTCAGTAGGAACTTTTTTTAAAAAAATCGCATCACTACCCTCGGGACACCATTCGCCTTTCCAGCGCACCATATACTGAGGTGCGGCCACACGACAACCTCTGGTACGGTTCGATCCTCATGTAAACTTAAATACTGTCTTCAATGTCAGAACTAATTTGCTGTATTTCAATTTCGTCAGTTATATTTTGGTTTCCCGGCATTTTTCTCAACTAATTACCCTTAAGATAAGTTTACTTTCCTCGTTTATTAAATGGTGATCAGAAAAAGTGGCAAATAATGTGTCCGCGGCGTCATAAGCCCACAGCATACTTTCACTCAAGAGCGAGCGCCACAGCACCACGCCTTCCACTACACTCTCAACATCAAATCCCAATTTTGTCTAACACATAACGCTCGGACTAAACTGTAACACTTGTCAACACATTAGAATACAAAATTACTACTTAGTGTTTTTAAGTCATCATTTAAACATTTTGAACTTTAAAATTAGCCCATGTAAATCACACCTCGTATGAAATATCGAATTATAACATAACTCGAGCCGTTGAATTTCCACTGAATGCAAACTATAACTCTATTAGAATACCTCCAACATTTCTTTCGATATTTGTTATCATATTTGGGTACGTTAAGAAATAATGAAAGTATTTGCGGGTACTTTTTATTATAAATCGAACAAAAAGATTTAACTTTTGGCTTAAAACATTTCACTTTAAACTTTTAATCTACACTTTAATGGTTCGTCGGTGTCGTAAATACGACAACAAACTTGATTTAAGAAATTAAACACAAAAAACAAAACGCGAGGCGCATCATCGTCTTTCATCAACGTAATAATAACCCTTACACTATTCAAAGGTTATGTGCAGACAGTAACAGGGACTTTATCCCATTTCTGATCTTGGAAATTACAATAGGAGATCCCACTTCTGATATCGGATACAACAGAGGATCCCAATTTTGGTCTTGGAAATACATCAGGATAGCGTTAACTGTTAAAAATAATAAAAGTGTGAGAGCGGATGTTCAACTTGCTCTCTTGCTTACGCAGTTTAATCATTATCAGTAATAAGACAACGTAACGCACTATAAATTCAGTATAGTGAAATTACAGTTCGACCACACCTTAACACGTCTCCGCCACAATCACACACCAGTGTAAAGTGAGGTACGTATTAATTACATGATAACACCAAAATATTTACAGCAACAGCAACACTACTTATGTCAATGTAACACAGGGCAGCCTCTCAGCAACACCAATCCTCCTTGTCTGCACTAGAGGAATTACAACAACGAACAGAACCACGACACTATCTCAGCACGAGTAGAATGACCACACTCGTTGAATGACTGAAGCAGACTCTCCGCTCTCTCCCGCACGGCACCTACAGTGAACTTTATACTGCACAAACAAGTGGGAGTTTCTAGATACACCCTCATGTCCACCTCGATCCAAGTGATATTTTATAGACGCTCCGACATATAATTTACCTCTTAATCTTACATTAAAACTTCTTGCTTAGACTTTTCAGAGATAAAACTCACATAAAAATATAATAATCACGAAACGCGAAGTACTCGACTAAGAAAAGTATGACAGATTAACAAATTGTGCGGTGTTGAGAGGCCAACCGACTTGGGCGCTGTCACTTTTCGAATTACGGCTTCCGATTGGCTGAAATCTATATCATGTGGCCAATGGTTAGACGCGCAATAAGCATCTCCATCTAAAGGCATTCAAATGTGAAAACCGTCAATTTTCGACTTGAGCGGTGTTGTAAGCTAAGGGACGATGTATGATTTTATAGATATTATAATAAAACAACCACATTGATTAAGTATAGTTTAATTAAATTAAATTGTCAAAAGTATACATAGTTAAATTGTACTTAGGACTAAAAGGTAAACTAATCATTCCTTTGATCAATGTATTGAATAAAAGTTAAAATAACGAATTTTCATTTTACATAGAAACTTTTTTTTGGAAATCTCGATTGGTTGTATCGATCGATGACAGCAAATCAGCCGTTTCTTGGTTGATTAAAGATCGAGTTTTTAATTCCTCAATTACACTAGATTGGTCAGCAACTTTTTTTTGCAAACGCCAGGTCTTTGATCTTAAAGCATCTAGTTTCTTCCTCATATTATCGCGTAATAACGTCTTCTTTTCCAATTTCTTAATTAACTTCTTTTTACGTGGAGTTATCTCAACTTCCAGCACTGCCATTGGTATATCTTGTGTCTTTTTTTTATAGTATAGGGTGACAAGCGAGCACACAGTCCACCTGATGGTAAGTACTTGCTGTGGCCCATAGACATCTACATCTATCCTCGTTTGCGAATCAAAATGCAGATGCGTTGTTACTCGTGAGGAATAAGATGGAATGCCTCTTTTCCAGTAAAAAGGGCCTCCGGTTCTCTACTCTCACCATACGAAACACAGCAGTGT